GTGTGTGTGTGTGTGTGTGTGTGTGTGTGTGTGTTTCTATTTTTGTTTTTGTTTTTGTGGAACCAGGGATTGAACTCAGGCCCTTGCACTTGCCAAGCAAGCACTTATTCTACTGAGCTATCTCCCCAGCCCTTGAACTCACTGTATAGCACACACTGGCCATGAACTCACGGATGTTCCTCCTGCCTCAGCCTCCCCAGTGCTGGTATTACAGGTATATGCCACCACCCCTGGCCCAGATACTCTATTTTTTTATTCTAGAATTTTATTTTTGATCTTTGTTCTTTTCTTTTGTGAGATTTTTTCACCTGTTTTTTCACTGTGATTATAGTTTTTAAAAAAATCCTTAAGCATTCACTCAGTACTAGCTTTAACTTCTGGCCTGCTAATTCTAGCATCTGGCCTGGTGTTTAGTGACCATGATTTGTCTTGGTTGTGTGCCGTTTCTTATTTCTTCTCACAGCCAGTGTTGATTGGTGCTGACCATAGAAGATAGCAGGTATTGAGTCTGGATTATGCAAGCTTCCTTTCAAGGGTATTGAGCTTTGTTCTGACCATTAAATTATTACTAAGTCCTGGGAGTTTTGTAGAGATTGCTCTGATTTTCTGTTAGAGGAAGCCTCTCAGCTTAGCATTTAGTTTTAAGGCAGCGCTTCCTCTAAAGCTCAGTTGTCAGGCATGTGTACTGTACAGCCTGATGCTGCTGGATTCCTGGTGTTTTCCAGCTTTCCTGGCCTGGTGTCTCTGCCCTCACTGCCAGTGTTCCGTTGGTAGACCTAGGCAGGACTCCTTCCAAGGCAGAAGCTACTTTGGCCAAAGAGTACAGCTCTTTCCAGTGACTGCCTGTATGGAATTTGGAAATCTCCCTTCATGGCTCCTCCTTCTCAGCTACTGTGCTCTATGAAGTCCAGCTGTTTTCTCACATCAGCAAGACTGCTATCTTAGACTACAGGGGCCTCATGTCCTCGTTCCAGGCTATAGAGCATTCCTAAGACACATGTCTGGGGTGAGCAGGAGGCCCAGCTTGCCAGTCTCCTTTCTCCCAAGTATCATGGTCCCAGGCTGCTCCTGCCTGAAAATGGCTGCCTCACACATCTCATTTCTTTACTCTTCTTGGTTGGAGGCAAGGCTAATACCAGTTACCCTGTCATGGTTGGCAGTAAAAACTGCAAGAGTTTTGGTGTTAAATAGGTTAAGGTATGAGAAAAAAACTTCTATATAGAAAATAAATAAATAAATAAATAGGAATAAATGTTATCTTTATTCACTAAAGATTCATAATTACAAAGAAAAGACAAGGACTGAGTTCCAAGTATAGTACTGGCATCCAGGAAGTGACTGGGTCCCTGCAGTTTTATGAATATAATGTGCCACAAAATTGGCTACACACACTCTTTTTTTTTTGGCGGAACCAGGGATTGAACTCAGGTCCTTGTACTTGCCAGGGAAGCGCTTGTTCCACTGAACCATCTCCCTGGTCCTACACACACTCTTTACATTTGTAAATATCTACATCTATATCTATAGATAGATATGCATAGACATAGATATATAGATAGATACATATAGATATATAGTGTTTTGTATATATGTCTAGATACATATCTTTATATCTATAGATATATGTATATAGATACAGTTATCACCTTCCTCTTCCCCACTGATTGTTTGGGATTAAACTTTCCTTTTCCTTTTTTCAGTCAGGGAAAGCTTTTATAGAAGAAGAAGAGCACCCTTATAGTTCACAGGAGGAGAATATCCACAGTACATGTTCTCTCTTCAGTACTGAATTCTCTAACAGGGAACAAAGAGCTGTTTGTCCCCACAGGATTCTCTTGGTGAGGCTTCTTTCTATAGGTTTTCAGGCCCTGTGAGACTGGAACAAAATTAAGAACCACTAGCCCCGCTGAGCTTTTATGTCTGAAACCCTATGGAGGGATAAAATTTATAAGCTAACAGCAAGTCACTTGTTTCCAGACTTTTTTTTGTGGCCAACTCAGCCTGCCCTGGGAGTGGGGCTGGCACAGCACGTGGTGCCGGGATCAAACCATGCAGCCTTTAGGTTTGCCTAGACTTGACTAAGCAGGTGCTTCAGCCCGCTGAACTATCTCACTGGTCTTGGAGAGAGCTTTTGACACAGTGATGATCTGTTTGCATGTGGCCAATAAAATAAAACGTTTTTCCCCTGTGCTCCGGTGCCCACCCGGTGAATCTTCCCTGCAGGGTGGAGGGCTCTGGCACTCAGGCTTCTAGAAAGGCCATAAGCATAGGCAAGTTCCCTTTGCTGGCATTGCCAGGAGGAGATCTAAATACCAACCAAAGCAGCAGACTGAGAAGACTTCATTTACAGTAGATGTAAACAGGAGCAGCTAAAGGCTAAAGTCAAGTAATAAGGAAATACAGGCTTGAACCAATGTGAATTTGAACAGAAAGAGATGCAAAAGCGTAAGTATTATTGCTTCTGTGGTTTTGGTAGCCAGATAAGGATGAAAGGAGGATTTTTTTTTTTCTGTCTTTTTGAGACAGGGTTTCACTATGTAATTCTTGAACTCACTTTGTAGCCCAGGCTGGCTTGAACTCACTGCAGTCCTCCTGCCTCAGCTTCCTGAGTGCTGGAATTACAGGTGCGCACCACCACACCCAGAACAAAAGAAAAAGGATTTAGGAACACCAGCCTCAGAAACAGATGGGACAGCCATATAATTGATGAAATCTCTATCTTGGTGGTCTGCTGTCCCATGTAACAGGACAGTGACACTGTGTATGTGTTCAGTACTTGTACTCTATTTTGCATCTTGAATGTTCCTGGATCCCAGCCCTGGGGCACCTTGAAAGTTGTGAAGTTTTTAAGGGGGGACCTTGTGAGAGGGACTGACGTCATGGGGTGAATCTCTGCAGGAATAGTGGGATCTCTGTCCTTCCCTTCCCGTTTTGCTTCCCAGCCACCAGAACAGTGGTTTTGCCCCCACCCAACCCCACCCCATGGCTGCCTCCAACCAGACACCTAGAGTCATGGACTAGAACCTTAGAAGCTGTGGTCCAAAGGAAACCTTTCCTCTTCTTATGTTGAACATCTCAGCAATTAGTTCTAGGGACAGAAAGGTGACCGGCACAGCATAGCTTCTGGCTTACTGAGTCATTGATGTGACTTTGTCAGTGTGTATTTTTCAAATAAAAGCATTGTCTCTTCAAAAGGAAACACTTTAGAGTTTGAGTGACCAGAAATACAATACTGGTAAAATGTCATTATTTCTAGCAATTCCATCTAGATTAATCTAAATTGTTTAGTCTACTTATGAAGAGGAAAAAAATCATTAAAGTTAAAGATTCTGATAGCCTTTTCAATTTTGTTTCCTTCAGGGTTCCTTGGTGTTTCTTCCTCCACAGTCCCCTTTTATTCCCACGACCTGGTCTGTTTTATCTCGTAATACAGAAAGGACACACAGTGGAAGCTGAGATATATTTTACTTTATTTTTGAAGAGAAGAGTGAGATTAACTTTTCATAAATATCTATAAATATAGAGTGATAGGCAAAAATTTTCCAAATAAATAAATAAATATTGCCACACGCCAAGGGACACAAGAAATTGCAGGAGCTGCTTTAGCTCTACTATCTATAGAGCTGCTGATGGTGGTGTTGATTTTCTGAGATTTCAGTTTTTTTAACAAAGTCTTTTCGGGATTTTCCATGTAGTTATCAGTAGGGGTGGGGAGGGCTCAGTAGCTACTGTACAGAACAATATCGTCAACAGGAAATAAAAAAATATTAAAGAAAACATTGGTCAGACACAGCTGTACACTGCTACCCATGGTTTTAGTGGTTCTGAATAGGAGTTGGTCCTTAAACCAGTTTAAAACCATCAGGCAAGAGCAGTTTTTCTGATAAGTGAAGAGAAAGGATCAACTTCTAGTTCTGGGCACAGGATGCCAGGGAAACAAAAAGGGGAAAGAAGATATATGAATTACACCGGGGATGTAGCTCAGCATAGAACACTTGCCTGGCCTGCGCAAGGGCCTGAGGTCCATCCACAGTACCACAAAAAAAAAAAAAAAAAAAAAAAAAGGTTCTCTGGATTGGCTTTTGTTACTGAGGGGGTCGCTTTAGGAGGTCATTTAACTAGAGGTAGGAGAATGGGGTTATTTGTAGGAAGAATCTGGGCATGGATGAGGGCAGGCACACCTCCACCCCCAGGGGAGGCTGCGTGCCCTGCAGTGGGGCTCTGGGACTCAGCACTGTCTTCACCCAAGGCCCAGAAATTTTCCAGTCCAACCAGATTCGGAAAAGTCCCCTAACAACAGCTGCGACTTCGCTGCTCGTGCACCTGGGACCTCTGGCTACGCTTTCTCTCCCTCCCCAAGTCCTTGCAAAGGACACAGTTTTTCTGTCCACAGATAGCCCGGCCCAGAGCAATCCGGGTGTCTCAGGCCCCTTTCTGGCCACCTGCTGGAGATCGCGCAGAACGCCCGACTCGTGGAAGAGCAGAAGTGCTTTCATTTTGCAAAACAAATCCTAGCGGAGTAAACTTTCACGAACCTGTTCCTGCGGTCAAATTCTTTAAAGCTAAAGATGCGTGGGGGCAGAAGGGGGCGGGAATCGACCTGCACTTGCAAGGTGCGGGGTCACTGTGGCTCTCTGGGTCTCTCTGAGAAGGAAAAGATAGAGGCAAAGGGTGCCACCCGCAGAGACGCAGAGCCTCCTGCTCTCCGTCGCCTGCGTGCCAAGTTTTGGCTACCAGTCTTTCTTTCCTTTTTGATAGTTTTTACCCAGAGACGCCCGAGGCAGAAGACCTGGAGGGGGTTCCCATCCGAGTGCCCAGGCCAGCTTGAGTCTACAGCCGAGGACCCAGCAGGGTGCAGAGCGCCCAGCACCACGGCTGCGAAACGAGAAATTGCTGCCCGGACCCTTGGGCGCTAACGTGAGCAAGCGGGGAAGTCCCCTTTGGTCCCTGGCTCGCCATTGGGGTTCGAATTTGCCGAGGCGGCTCGCGGGTTGCGCACCCTACTTGGCCTCTGGCTCCCGGCGACACCTGGAGGCGCGCGCCCCGCCGTGCGCGTGCACCCTGGCGCCCCGCAGCACGCCCAGGGGGTCGCTGGCCGGGCCAGCGTCCTCGGCGCTGGGCAGCTCCTGAGAGCAGGACGCGGGCACCGGCGCGGGCGCGGCGCGGGGTCGGGGCTTGAGCACGCTCAGCGGGTCGCGGCCCGGATCCTCCTCGGCGCTGCGCGTGTGTCTCCGCGGCCCGGGCGTGACGAAGCGGACCAGGGGCAGCTCGTTCCTGCGCGACAGGAACTGGGAGTAAGGCGGCGGGTTGGTGCCCGGCAGGAAGATCTTCTTGGTCCTGCTCAGGCTGACCAGAAAGTGGTGCTCGGGAGAGTGGTAGATGTCGTAGCCGTTCTCCAGCGTGCGGTGTTGGAACCTGCAGTCCTGCGGGCTGAAGTGATGCTGGGAGGAGGGCAGGGTGGCAGGGGGTGAGCATGGCACCCACTACCCCAGCCCCAACCCCTTAACCGACGCCCAGCTTGACTCCCACAGCACTCCAGTAATGGTTGTCCCTTCTAGGTAAAGCCAGATATGTACTTGGCTTTCAGGAGAGAGGATTGGCACCTTGCTCCTTTCTCTCAGCGGGTGTCAGGAAGTGACACCCACTGGGGCCTCAGGCTCTTGGCTGGAGACCCGGAGTGGCACCCGGCTCACACGGTGAGGCCCAGTCAGCGAGGGGCACGCCTGAGGCTGACTTCGGAAGGCAGAGCTGACTCATAGGCAACACTGCCTCCTCCTCTGGCTCTGTTCTGGCTTTTGCCGCTTTGCCCGAAGAAAGGAGATGGGATGGAACTCATGGGATCAGCTACCACAGTGGGTCCCCACCGTGGAGAGGGTGCGTAGGTAGGCGTTAGGGACACAGCCCTTCAGCAGGCAAGCTGGGTTTGAGCCCTCGCTCTTCCTGTCCTGCGTGCCTCATGAACCTGCTGGGTCTTTACATAATCATTCCATTTAATCCTCACATTCCATTTAATCAAGTATTTTACAGAAGAGGGGAGTTTGGCTAGATGCCTTCGGTAGTGATTTGTCTTTGGCAAGATGCTATTGCACTGCTGGGACATGGCAGTAATTGAATCATAAAATTTCTTTTTTCCAGAAATTTTTAATTGTTTTTAAAATTTTTATGTTTTTGGTACTGGGTCTAACTATGCAGGTGGGACTCAGAGAGCCTCCTGTTTTCAGCCTCCCCAGAGCTGAGATGACAGGCATGTGCCACCACACCATATCTTGGTGGCTGGTTCAGCACGGCATATGGTACCAGGGATTGAATCGGGGTCCTTGTGCATGCCTAGGCAGGCGCTTAGACTGCTGAGCTATCTCTGCCCCCCTCTCCAGAAATTTCTAATGGGTTTGGTGGTAAGAGACCCCTGGGACAATCAGTCCTTCTATTTGCCTATCTGAGTTCTCTGGATTTGCAGCAGACTTCAGCTTGGGAAATCCTTTGCTTACAGACCTGGCATCGCCATCTAGGCACAGGCAGGTCTGAGGTCTGTGTTAGCTGGAGGGAGCGCTATAGTCCTGTGGTTCATTTCACTGCACTGAAGTTTGAAGAAGTGAGGTTTGCCCAGGGGCACAGCTGCAAACAGACCAAAAGGATACCAACGGCACCTCACCTTTTCTAATGTAGGCCGCAACAAAAATTTACATGACCCAAGGCCCTATGACTGTGTACCTGGGCACTAGATGCAAAACCGGGTACCAGTGGGCAGGGAAGACTGGACACCCAGATTCCCTGGGTTCAAATCGCAGCTGCCTCAAAGTGTGTCATCCTTGGGGTAAGTGAAGCAGTTGGTGACAATAGCCCATCAAGGGACACTGCCAATGGGAACTTTAGACTAGAAAAGTCTACATCCTGTTGGAAATTAGATGATCACTAGAAGCATTTCATACAAGAAAGAAACTCACAGATCCAAATATGTTGCCTCTGAAGTCCATGCAGAGGAATCTCCTGCTTATCACTCCTGTTATCACCACAAAGCCAGCATCCTCGGATCTGACTGTCAGGGCACCTACAGAGAACACCACTCAGGTCAGAGGCGTGCCACACATCTGGGTCCATGGCCAAGCTCTTCCCAAGACCCACCTCACAAACCTCTTCACCTGACACTTGTTTTCTACTTCTCCCCTTATTTCCTGTTACCTCTACACCAATACATACACACACACTCCTGGCTCCTGAACCAGGCCTTTGAATGCCTGAAATTTTTTTTACCTGTGCTTCCGATATTTTGTTCCATCTGGACTTTATTTCTCCCTTTGCCTAGCTACCTCTTTTTTTTCTGTAGTGAGGATCAAATCTAGGGCCTTACATGCTAGGCAAGTATACTAATACAGTGCTACATTAAAAGGATTTTTGAAAAATGAAGGATTATTTTTCTTCACAGCCCCTTAATCTTATTTTGAGATAGGGTCTCATTAAGTTCCCCAGGCTGGTCTGAATTTAGGACCCACATGCTTCAGCTTCCTGAGTAGCTGGGATTACGTGTGTGTGGCACTATGCCTGGCTTCTGGCTAATATCTCTTAATGTTTGCAGTGGTGCTCATGTACTTCAAAGCCTCATGCTTCCATGATTTTAAACTCTATATTGATGTGTCTTTTATAGATTTAGCTTGTCTAGAGTCTGATTTTCCATGAGAGCTGTGTCACATTAGAGTTGCGCTCCCTCTCTCCTCAGATATAGACACTACTCTGTGAAGACCATCTTCATCTCCCTAATCAGAATTGGTTGCATTTTCCTCACAGCCCCTCGTCAAAGTGCCTGCACCATTACTACAGCTTGTATTCCTTCCCTTGTTCTAGTGCTACATGTTTGTGGCTGATAGATGGCTTTTTCTCCTTGGATTCAAGTCCCTGTCTGTTACTATCTTGGAGTTGCCCCCTTCCAGATTCAGTGCCTCATAGTCTTTCAGCATCCACGTTAAAAAACTCATCTCTGACAAAGGCTGGAGACCATGTGTACTACCTACATTATAAATAACTTGTAGCAGTGTAAGTATGCTTTCTTTTTGTGGAGAGGGTAAAATCAAACCATATGGTGGTGGAATAGAAATGATAATTTAGTGAGACTTTTCCTAAAACCAGACATTTTTCTGTCCAAAACCCTTTCCTAAGGTCTCTGAGCTCACATCCATCTGCCCACTGTTATGGTTTATATATCAATGTCCCCCCAAAGCCTCATGGACTTCTAGGTGGGGCTTTGGAGAGGTGACCGGATGGGGATGGGTATGTGATGCTCATCACTGGACTGGCCCACTGATGGGTTTATAGATTGTGTGGTTGGGAGGTGAAGTCTGTTGGGAGGAGGTGGCCAGTGGCAGTGTGGCCTGGAGGGTGTGCATCTCTCCTCACCCTTGATCCCACTCTGCTTCCTCCCTGCCCTGCCATGAGCTGTTTCTCCTCTCCCATGCTGCCCTGGAGCCAGCTAACTATGGACTGAAACCTCTACAAGCTGTGAGCCTAGATAAATGTTTCTTCTTTTAACTTGTAGGTGTCAGGGTTTGTTTTGTTTTTTGTTTTTAATGTATTTGGTACAGGGTCTCACTATGATTTATAGTGATCCTCCTGCTTTCAGCTTCCCCAGCACTGAGATTATAGGCATGCACCACCATGCCTGGTCTCTGTGGCCCAGGGACAGGGCCTGCATGGCATGTGGTGCCGGAAATCAAACCCCAGTCTCTGTGCTTACCTAAGCAGATGTTTAGTTTACTGAGCTATCTTGCTGGCCCAGTGTCAGGTATTATATCCCAGCTATGAAAAAGTAAGACACCTAAAATAGGACTTCCATATTTCATATCATTTGATATCACAGCCCCCAGGGAAGATTCTGGACAGGATTCCAAGCCCTCTTTTGCAGACCTAACTGGAGAAGCTGTAAATGTCCAAAGTCTGCGCCTGGCAGATGGTAGAGCCCACAGGTGCACTACAGCCCAAGGCCCTTCTCCTATCCCATGCAAGCTTACTACAAAGGCCCCTAGAGGAGGAAGTAAGCAAGAGGGGACATCAGTGGAATACAAGGTGCCATACAGTCCAAAGTTGGAGTGATGTAGGACCAAGAGAGTGAGCACAAAAAGAAGAGAGAACACAGAAGGGGCCAAGTAGAGCAGTTAGTTTGTCTCAAAGTTTGGCTTGAGGGAATCCTCTGGAAAGTAAGGTGAGGAAGGGAGGTATGCCAATTATTTAATTTTTTCCCAAGATACTGATGGCCTATATATCTCAAACAGATGGCTAATTTTGTGGTAAACCCTGAGAAATATGTAAGCAATGTATAAAAAGTAGTTTCAGTTCTGATGATTTCTTTCTTCTAACTGAGAAAATATTACGCTTAACTGTTTTTGAGTTGTTATGCTCTGAGTACTTTATAATTTTAAATTCTAAAAACAACTGTTATTTTTTGTTGTATTACTAACATTATTATTTTTTTTTTTTTGTTTGTTTGTTGTATTTTAGGGAAGGGTCTAGAGGGTGTTCAGGGTCTCACTACTAGATCGGACTCATAATGATCCACCTGTTTACAGCTTCCCAAGAGCTGGGATTGCAGGCCTGTGCCACCACATCCAGTCTCAATTGCCATTTCAGTGTGCCCCAGGGGCAGGGCTAGCACAGCAGGCCAGGGGATCGAACCCTGGGCCCCTGCTCCTGATTGCAGGCACTTTAATCCACTGAGCTATTTGGCCGGCCCTCTGTATTACTAATATTATTTTAATAATAGTAGAAACATTCCAAATTGAATGATAAACAGAAGTCAAACTCCTATCACAGACATCCTTGTATTATAATTACATACATGAAAAGACAAAAATCAACGGCTTAAAAGGCCACTGGGCAGAGGGACAGCAGAGGACAAGTGAGCCACTGTGGTAAGGCAGTGGGCAGGGTACAGGCTCTGAGTCAAACCAGTGAGAGCCACGGGTAAGGGTTTGGTAAGTAGAAGGTTCCCTTGCGGTCTTAGCAAGCACAGACCCCAGGGGAGAACTTGCAGAAGAGCGGAGAGCAGCCCTGTGGCTGCTGGACCCACCCACTCCCCCCGCTGGAACTGGGCAGACTGAACAGGTGGGATTTCCTTAGACCTGGAGCTGCCTCTACACGGGACCTTGGAGGAGCATGATATTTAGGGTCAAGACGTCCTCTGGGTCATGTATACTGCTTGGGCAACCTTGAACCAGTTATTTACACTCTTTGAACTTTGATATTTTCATACGTAAAGCAAAAGCAGTAGAAACATTTACCTGAGAGTGATTGAGATCATTTCATCCACTAGAAACAGATTTTTACATGCTAGTAATTACAGTATTACCATCACCACTTGCCTTTAACTTCTACTATAAAAGAAAATTATCTGCTTTATTCTTGTTTCATTGCCAGTAGGTGAATGACAAGACAGAAGAAGAAGGTAAAGGCTTAAGATTCCTTGAGAGAAACCCTGTTCATGGAAAAGCATTCAAGAGCCACAGGTATTCAGCCTCAAGCATAGAAGGTTCTGGGGCAGAGGGAACTAGGATGTAAAAAGTGATATTAACGGGAAGTGGGCTGGGGGTGGAGCTCAGTGGTACACACTTGCCTGGGATACATGAAGCCCTGGTTTCAATTCTCAGCAGCATAAAATAAAATAAAGTTTATTACTCCTTAACCAGGAGTAATAAACATCTTTTTCCTCATGTTTCCCCAAAGCCCAAAGTGAGGAAAACAGGGAGTGGGAGGGTGCTTTTGTTCACACAGGACAAGTGCATAGGCTCTGGAGAGTCCTCTCCTAGGAGCCTCCTGACTCTGAGCAGAACTTGGAGGGTCTCATGAACAGATTTCAGGGTATCCACTGTCAAGACCAATTACTGGAAAGAAATTGAGTACTCAAATCTTAATCAAGAATTTAGTAAAAAACAAAATAACCAGATGATTGAGATTTCACTGGAAACGTATGATTATCTAGGAGAAAAAGCCCCACAAACTCATTACTCATTCTTTCTGTTCATCTGTGAGCCGCTACAAATCCAAATCCTTCACCAGACTTCATTAGGTGTGCAGTCTACCTGAATCCTCTGAATCCATAGTTTATTCTCTCTCTCTCTCTCTCCTTTCTTTTTTGTAACTTTCTCCCTCCTTTCTTTTTTGTAACTTTTAACACTTAATATCTTTTTTCCCTACGAATACACATTTTAGCTGATTGAATAGTACCAAAGGTTGTATATGAACTAGGAAAAGCCTCCTCCACTACTCTGACCCGGATTCACCTCCCCAAGTTAGTGATAATCTTTAAAGCACAGTGCTCAGCTAGTACACACATCAGACAAAACAACCTGACACACAACATGCATGAATGCACACACAGTCCAATCGGAAGTGAGTGCAAATCGTCTCACCTCCCCTTACTCGGATGTACTCATTCCAGCTAGTATGTTGGCTCCTGGGGCCCGAGGCCTGAAAGGCTTCCTAGGGAGAGAAAGGGTCTGCCCTGTGGGCTGGCCGCTTGGGGGGCCTGACTCAGCCTCAGCCTCGCCTCTGCCACCCTGAACTGCTCTTGCTTCCTGTTTGGGAGGAAGTGACTTTAGAGGGTTTCTTTCAGCAGAGAGAGTCCATGCTTTTCCGAGTTTTAGAGGTACTTCATTCCCTAGTTGTAAGCAGCCCTTTCAATCTATGGCTATCAAAATAATTGACCCTAAGTCAGTGCCTCACATTTTAAATCACAGAGACTCTTGCATGAAAGCCAGCGTGGCTCTTTGAGGCCGAGGAAAATTATATTTCCTAAAAATCTGATAACAAGCTGGGGAATAAGAAGGAGGGACAGACTGTGTGTCATCAAAATCCAGTGAAACAAAATGAGCAGCACTCCGGATACACGAAGGGGCCCAGACTTAGGTCAGATGTTCTCTGTTAACTCTCTCTTATCCTTCAGGGCGCCTTGAATCCTGAGTCCTGTGTTGTCCCCTTGAGCTGTGGAACATGCTTGGAGCTTGGCAAGAGCTTTCCTCCTTCCTCTCAGCTCAGTGAATACGCACTGGGTGCTTGGAAAGGTTTAACTGAGCTCTGCTCGTATAAATATGTGGCTGTCAGTAGAATGAATGCTCTGTACACAGCAAGACCAGAGTAACAATAATCAATAATAATCAATTAATTTATTAGAACAAAAGAGGGGAAACCAAAATTCTTACAGGAAATTTCTCAGCTACTTAAATATTGTGATTACCCTTTCTTTCAACCTGAGCAGTATTGGATCAGTTCATGGTTTTCTGTATCCTTAGTATAAATTTTATATGTCTTCCTAATGTAGAAAACTCTGTCTTTTCAATACCCCTCTCCTCTCTCACCTCATCATTCTTCATTTAGGTATGCATGAAGGGCCCTGTCATGAATGGTAGCTAGTTGATGGACTGTTGTGTGTTACCACCCAACTTTCCACAAAACTAATGTTTAGAAGCATCCCGTTTGCCTCACACTGCCAGTGTGTGTGCACTCCGTCACCTTCCTGCTGGCTAGACACTTCAGCTCCACAGAATGGAATCACAACTTATAGTATACATCTTAAGCCCCGCCAGCCTGCTGGATGGCTGCATGGATGGACAGATTTGGTGCCTGGTCAGGTTTACAACAGACCTAGGAGATCTGTCTTTAATACATGTTTTGAGTACACTTTCATAAGGTCAGAATACTAGAAGCTCAAGAGTTGGAAAGATTCCCTGAGGCGTGTTCAAGTCTTTGGAATGATAGAGAAATCTTCAGCTTCCCTAGTTAACTCCATTTAAGGTTTATGACCTCAAACTCAGTGCCTGTGAACCTATCTGGTTTCTTTCCCATTTAGATTCCTTCAAGATTTTCTTCAAATCCTTGCACAGGGGTAAGGGAAAGTGACTCCTATCCTGAGAAAAGACTTTTGATAAATTCCTGGATGTGATGAGGAACCAATAAATAGTAGAGAAGTGACAGACTCTTTCTCTAAAGCTTACAACACACACACACACACACACACACACACACACAATTTTTTTTCCTGGAAAAGAAGCTAGAAGGCTTCCCTAGCCTCCCTGCAGGTGGACACAGGGTTGTACCCCTCTGCTCGGAGAGAATCCCCTACTCACTGTAGATGGTTGGGTAGGGTGCTCCATCCACGTGGCCATCCTTGTGGATCTGCAGGTGGTAGCTGTTCCTGGCTGTGGCCGTGTACAGGTGGGTCAGACCACCCCAGCTGGAGCTGAGCAATGGGGACGCATCAGGATAGGCTCTGACCAGGCTCAGGGCACCGACCAGGAGCCCAAGGCAGACCCCCAGCATGGCAGCACGCTCGCTCAGAGTGGCTGGAGTTGAATCTGAAACCTGACCCTCCTTCCTGGTCTCTTCCTCCTCTTCTTTGCAAGTAGCTGCAATGAGGCTCCTAGGCTGGGTTCCCTTCTTTTCCCGCTCCGACTTTTAAAGGGTAACAGTGTGACATCAAACAGGAAAAACTCCACTATCCACATCCTCTATGTTGTAATCAGCTATTCGAAGAAAGTGCAGACTTCTGAGGCGTGCGGAAGGCACATGGGTTGGGACACACACACACGCACATGAACACGCACACGAACACACACATCCCACTCAATTTCAAGCCAATACTCCCAAAAGTGAATCGTGTGGGTACAAGTTATCTGTGACCCTAAGTTGTCTGTTGACCTGTCCCACTTCCACCAGGAAATACGAAGGCAGCCAGCAGTCCGAAAAAATCCAGCTTCAATCACATAGTGGCCGCCTCCTCCTCGGCAATCTGATTCCTGCCCAGTCTGCCCGTTGTGGTTTCTGAGATCCTTTTAACTCCTTGTCCAGAGTCTGCTCAGCACTGCCTCTGTCTGAGCACAGGTGAATGACATCAGTAGACAAATGGTATGTGGAGACCCCCATGGCAGGATAGATGCCCTGTGGGAAGACTTAGCAATAGGAAAAAAAGAAAAGAAAACAAGGCCTTAAAGTGATTGAACATAGCAAAGATCCAGTTTATCGGTTTCCCAGGTTTGGGTGGTAAAACATGCATAAGCTGACTATGATGGCTGTTCCAATAGGAAAGAGACCCATTTAAGACCATCTAGGATTGGAAGGCTGCTGGCTGAGCAGGGTTGGAAGGCAGGAGGCTTCTCCGGGCAGGGCGGCCACCATGGTCAGGGTCGGCTGGCTCTGCAACCGCGCATTATCTTGTGCAGGTTGCTCCTAAGTACATCTTCTGGGAAGCCACATTTGATAGCTCTTACAGTCCAATGGGAAGCAGGTAGTGGGAGAAGTGCACAAACACAGGCCAAGGAGGCTTCGAGCTTCCCAGATTCCACTTTACCGAATGAACACCAGGGACAGGCGGCAGGCTGGACGTCAGGTTGGGTAAGAGCAGGGCATGGAGATCAGTTTGCAGCTCTGGTGAAACACTTGCCTAGCATGTGTCAGGCCCTGAGTTCAATCCCCAGCAACACACACACACACGCACGCACGCACGCACGCACGCACGCAAGGGGGTGGAGGAGGATGTGATTTCTGCCTTAAAGAACTCAAGTCCAATGGAGAAGATGTATAGAAATAAGCGGGTATCATATAAACCATGTACCATCAAACAGATTCAGGCAGAGACATCGTTTCTAACGCTGCATGTATGTAGCTTACAGATTTTATAGTTCTAAAGCATTTTCGCATCTCAGCTCCTTTGCACATCACCGCAAACATGTCAAATAGGTGTGCTGGGCATGACTGATACTTGAATGTTATACATGGAGAAACGCAGATGTTGGGGTCTGTGTGTCCAAAGCCGCAAAACAAATGATGCGGTCTTCTGGTTGCCCGGTATCTTCCCCCATGGTAAGCTTAGTGGCAGCGCACACTCACCGACAGCTTACATTCCACTCATCGTTCTGCATGATTTCTTGCAGTGATTCATTTCGTCTTTAGAAGAATCTTTTCAGGAGATCCTGGGATTCCCTTTTGGCGCACACTAACTGAGGGGCTTATTCAAATACAGATGCTAACAGGGGGAAGAGGATGGATTTGAAGTGAAGGCTGATCTCTCCCATGCCCTTCTCAGGATGTGCAGGGACAGCAGCATGTTTGCCCTGGAGCTATAGCAGCTGGAGCTATAGGAGCTGGAGCTACACATGCAGGCACTTGGAGGAAAGGCAGAAGCACCAGTAGGCAGACCATTTTCCTTGGCAAATCCAGGCCTCTGCCCTGGATGATTCTTGAAGATATATGAGCTTGTCTCCTTAATGTTAGACAGATGATGCTGATATTTACATACTTACATGTAAAAATCTCTGGTAATAGCTGTAGAATTGTTCATAAATGTTGTCTCTCATCTGGCTAGTTGAAGAACTAGTTAGCTAGCTTTCAGAAATGAAGAGCAGATCATTTGCTGATTGATAACCCTATTTCTCCTCAGCTGGAAATGATAGAGATGAAAAATAGCTTGAAGCAATCATCGGCTAACTGAGAACCTCCTCTGGGTGAAATCGGCAGAGGTAGTTAGTTTAATAAGAAAAAAAAAAAAAAAAAAAAAAAAAAAAAAAAACAGGGAAAACTTAGCCTACTGGGCTTTCAATATCATTGAGCTGAGAAAAAATTTTCATTCACTACCCGTACTGCGTAAGAGCTAAATTACTTGAAAGGGCAAGAGGTGGTAGCACCATTCACAAAAGAGAGACCACATTGTGCAGTTACTGTGGTCGAGGTGCTCGGAGGGAGGGGATGAGCTGGTGGGGTGAGGAAGGAGGGGGAAGGAAGACCTACGAGGCCCCTGCTGAGCATGACAGAGAGGGGTGAGAGTGTCCTGGGGTGTGTGCGCCACCACTCACTCCACTTCTGGAGAGCGTGGAGGGGGCTGTTCTGGCCCCTTCAGCTAGGATTGTGAGGAGAGAGAATTCATGTGTTGACGCACTCAATTTCCAGATATTTCCCTCCAAAAGGAAGTCCTGGATACTTACTAGCTGGACCTGCAGGCAGAAGTTAGTCCAGGGAAGTGAATTTATTTCTGAGGGGTCGTATGGGAGCGGAAGAAGAATCATGAATCAAGAATCTAGGAATAATTCTTCGTTTGCAATATTGAAAAGAGGAGAGTGAAGAGAGGGGTTCACCCACTGACATACAGGGATGGCAGAGACTGCAGCCCCTGGCTGAATGCCCTAGATGACACCAGACCTTTCTGCCCCCTGGAATCACCCAAGAGGCTTTAAACCAGGCTGACCTCAGCACCATCAAATCAGGAAGCCTAGCTACTTGGGAGACCCTGATGCTCAGGTACTTATTCATAACCAGGCCTTTGACCTCTGCACGCACTGGAATTAAAACATAAAGACCAAGGTCCCCTGCACTGGCTGGAAATCTACCCAAATTAGGGTGGGACTTCTTAGGGAGCACTAGTAGTGAATGCAGAGAAGTTTGCTGTAGCCCATAGGTAGCCTTTTCTTCATGTCTGGTGGTGGCCTTTACAGCTGTGGAGAGTGGATGAGTGGAGGGAGGAAGAGAGAGAGGATGGGAAGGAGAGAGAGAGAGGGTGTGGGGTCCTGGCCACTGTACCTAAAGGGCACTCCTCTGTCACAGTTCAGGGCACAGGACCTGGCACTAGTGACAATTTAGGAGCCCGAGAGCCACAGAGATGCCCAGGAAGGAGGCCAGTGCTTTGTGCTTTCTGAATGTCACTGTTGAAACATGATGTGGCAGAGAGGCTGGTCCCATGGGGAGTCCATCTCCAGCCTTCCCTAGAAGCTGTCTTTGGGCTTCAGGAGAACTTGCTGTGGGAGCTGGGTGGGGGCCTGAGGTCGCCTCTGCACTTATACAACCGAGATCTAAATAGGGCTTAGAGACACAGAGCTCTCCCATCCCACAAGCTCCTCACTTTCCTTATCTCCTGACATCTTTTTCTCAGAATCAACTCTGAGAAGGTTTTAAGGAAGTTTAATTCCCCTGGACTCCCCTTTTATCTCCTGGGTTCTCTCAATGTAAGGCTTACCACTGATTTTCAAAGAATCAAATGGAAAAAATATGGTGCAAATTTGGAGGAACTAAAGTGAAAAAATTGGGAGGTGGGAGAGCAGGTGGTCTCAGGGGGGTCCCTGTCTTCTCTGTACAAGACTCTGTCCAAAGGCCCTGTCCACCCATGGTGGGACTTGATTGTCCCTGGTTCCTTCTGGCTCATCTCTTCCTACTCTATCTCCTGCCAGGGAGATAGCTCAGTAGAATAAGCACCTGCTTGGCAAGCACAGGGTCCTGAGTTCAATCCCCAGTACCACAAAAAAAGAAAAAAAAAAGATGTTTAGGGCTGGGGAGATAGCTTAGTAGAATAAGTGCTTGCCTGGCAAACACAAGGGTCTGAGTTCAATCCCCGGTTCCTCCAAAAAAGAAAAAAAAAGAAAGAAAGCAAAAGCCTACTCTGTCTCTTGCATCTGGTGTGGATTTCACAGTGACCTCTCTGCCTTACTGGTCCTCGTGTTCAAGGAGATGGATATCAAAGTGTTTTCCTGGTTTCAGTGTTCTCTGCTGGAAGTGCCACAACCTTCCTGAAATGCCTCTCCAGGGTCTGTCTCAGCGTCTCAATAGTTGAACCACTTCTTGGGCCGAGATGTAGCTCAGCAGAAGAGTGCTTGCTGTGTTCTCAATGCCCTGGGTTCTGTTCCCAGCTCTGTAAGGAGTAATCAAATAAAAGCAAACCCAGGTAAACAAAACAGGAAGAACTTCTTTATATCCAAGCCGATTCTCTCTTGCTTGAATGTATCTACTTAACACGTATTTATCGAAAGCCTGTTACATGGCTAATGCCTTCTGGAATATCTTCAGAGAAGCCCAAGAATGGAAAAGTACAGGCCTAACCTGAGAGGAGTTTACTGGGAACAATGCATTTTGTATGTGTCCACCCTGTGCTTAGATGTACACACATGTGTTCTCATGTGTTCACATGTGTGTCCTCATCCGTCATTCATTGTTGATGCTCAAAACTGTGCTATGCACTGAGGCAGGAGGTGTTCGGGATGACTTTCCCAGGAGCACCCTAGCTCCTGACACACAACCCTGGATGGCAGGATTCGACAGAAAAGGGAGGCAAAGGCATCATTTTAAATCTGTATTTATTAAAAAGTAAATCAATGTGGAGATATGAAACATAAGGTGAACGTCCGCTGTAGAGGTGAGACACCATCAAAGGTAAAATAGTATTGGCTGGGGAACACACACATACTTTGAAAGTAAACCCTGAGTGCATCCTATATTTAGGATAATCACACTTTGTCCAGGCCCATGTCACTTTGACCACCCTTCCAGGTCAGTTTGTCTAT